AAAAGAAAATTTACTGGTTGGAATCCACCATCAAGGTCATGAAATATTTGAGCGACTATAAAAACAAACATTATATTTATTTAAGAGATTTAATTGCAGAAACTTATTAAAAGATATTTTTCGAAAGAAATAATTTTATATTTACATGATTCATCCACTTTTGAACGAACTTCTTCACCCAATAAACATCGAGAAGCAGTTAAAATAATTAATTCTGCCATTGCTTTATGAACATCTTGAATATCAGATTTCTTATTCCATCGAGAAAGATAATTTTTAGATTCTTCCTCTATCATTAGAATATAAGCACGTAAATTGTCTACCGAAAGACCTGCTTTAACAAATCTAAAAAATAAGCATTACTTTTGAATATACATATATATGAATATAAAAAAAAAGTAATTAATAATAAAAAAAATGCAAACTTTTTTTGTTCCATTAAAACAGAATTATGCACATCATAGACGACACCCTTTCCAAATACAGGTACGGTCAACGATCTGTAAGCTTCTTCAGCAGAAGCTTCGGCGAGTTTTGCATTAAAAACAAGATTATTCCCCTCAGCACCTAAACAAGTAACCATTCTTTTACCAAATAGAATGTACGTATAATAATTCCCATACTTTATAAATAAATGTAATAATATATTTAAACATATTATTGTTAAACTTAATTTTTGCGATACTATATGATGTATTGAGAAATTAAAAGGAAATGTACCTCTTTTTGCCTATCTCTGTAAAATTTAATAGGATCTATACCCATAGTTACGGCAGAGCCAAGAAATGGAATCCAATAAGGGACCAATGGAGGTTCATTTTGTCGAGGACTTATATACTTGAGTGTGAAATTAAATTGAAAATATTATGATGAAAAAAGTCAAATAAATTAATAATTTTTAGATAATTTATAACATGAAAAAAAGAAATAAGCAATTAATGAAATTTACCATAGCTTTGTATAAAGTGTATAAAAAAAAAATGGAAACAAGTACGAAACTTGCAGTCATGAATAAAATATTATTGACAGTAGCACCTTTGAAATAAGGAGCTAACTTATCACTTCGAAGAGCAGTCGCCTGAACATAATATGCGAAAGGCGACAAATAATCTGTGTAAATTGATAAAAATAATTCAGAAGCCATGACTGAATTAATTGTGCACCTTCGTAAAGTAAAAAACAAGAGAGCAGTGAAAAAAAGTTTTTTTTTAATGTCACATTTTTGGGGTAACATTATGCATCACGATCGTGTGCGTGCGTACATAAGTAACACCATCTACGTTTGTCATGCATGTTATTGCCAAATAAAACGCAATGCATACAACCTTTACCGTTACCGGTTACAAAATCACATAATTATGGAATTCACATCCCCAGCATTAACGCTGTTACGTTCGTACAGTAGATTTCACAAACGAGGATCATTTAAATCATGGTAATAAACAATTGGCGCCCATCCTCTCAATACTAATTACATTATGAATGCCCCTTGAAATTAGATCCAATTTTATTAGTCAATATTAAATATCGATAAATAAACATGGATTACATTAGAGGTTCAGGTCACTCGTCAAATCAGCAGATTTGACTCGAATAGATACTTTAATAGTATACAGTATTTCTAGCACCATTAAAGTCTCTAACCATTTTTACTCACAGTCGTTGCAAACAAAGAGTTTGTTTTTCTTTAAAAATTGATTTTGCCAACTACATGCACCGCAAGTCTTTGAAGTATACATTTCCTCCTCACAAATAACACATCGTAATACTCGTTTGCCTTGTGTAACATAAATTGTTGGAATGTGTAATGTCACCAGGTGAGCATTATTCTGAGACCCAATTTACTATTGATCTTTTTCACCATCTGTGAGGTTTCAAATTTTGGAAGTAAACTAGTTTGGTAATTTCCACAAACCATAGGGCAAGTTTATGGTGCAACTCAGAAACCAGATTGCGTATTTTCTGAAAAGTATTTTTTTCCTGAGATTGTTTCTTGCTCATTTATACCTTCTACTAGTTTTCTTGTCTCTTTGGATTAGTAATTATCTGCTTTTTTAAATAGTTGCATAATTTTATTAATGTCATTTTTACCTATTCGACGATTTTACCTTGTGGGTTATAACATGCATGTACTGTACACCCGGATCTATGCTTATTATCCGTCCGCTGATGGGCATTTGGTTTTCACGCACCTCAAACAGTGCAGATACTGTGCATGTATATAATTTTTACCATATCTGTTTCTGGTGATGATACGGTATTTTTGACCTCGGGTACAAGTTGTGATGTATTAAGAAACGCGCGTTTTCTATTATAATCACGTGTTAGAATAGCAATTGATTGTGTATCCTTTTCTTTCGGTAATTCGTCTTGAACCTTTTACCAGTTTGAGAAAGTTTAAGTTGTGTTTTGTAGGCAAACTTGTAATGTCGAATTGCGTATGACCTAATTTCCCTACCGGGACACTTAAAGAACGCGACATTATAATCTGTGCTCGGTTTTGATCATGTGATGATGATCGCCAATCAGATTCGTACTCGTACCAAAATAAAAATTTTCAAATTTTTAAGACAACTCGACAAAATGAAACCAAATTCAGTAAAAAAAATGTTTTTATTTGATTCTTTAGATTCATAGAATTCAAACAAAAATTTTCATCGAATTTGGTCGAGTGGTTGCCGAGATATCTTCGCTTAAAATTTGAGAAAAATTTGGCGCAACTTTTATTTGACAAGTATTTTTTGAATTTTTAAAAACTTTTAATGAAAATATTTCGATAGCCATCTAATCAAATTCAAGCAAACTTTTTTTATTTGAATTCTATGAATCCATAGAATTCAAATAAATAATAATTTATTATATTTGGTCTCTTATTTTGACGTGTTTTGATTTTTTTAAGGCTTTGAGCGAAAATATCTTGTCAACCACTTTACTAAATTCGGGGTTTTTTTGAATTCTATGAATCCATATAATTCAAATAAAAAAAGTTTCATCGAATTTTATAAGATAGTTGTCGAGATATCTTCATCCAAAGTTTAAAAAAAAAATCAAAACGCTTGTCAAAATAGATGTTGCCCAAATTTTTTCTTAAACTTTGAATGAAGATACCCACTCGACCAAATTCGGTGAAATTTTTTTGCTTGATTCTATGAATTTATAGAATTTAAATAAAAAATTTTTTATTGAATTCGGTCTAGTTGCTGTCGAGATATCGTGATTCAAATTTTGAAAATTTGGGCACTTCAAGAACACTGAACTCAGTGATCATCACATCACATGAAATCACACATGTGATGTGATTATCACGAAAATATCACTGAGTTCAGTGTTCTCCGAAAATTTTTATTTTTATCAAGAAGTATGATCGTCATCACGTGATCAAAACGCAATAAACAGTAAATTATGCACTTTTATGCGCATATGTTTTTTATAATTATACTATGTCTTACGCATAAAATGTAACCAACTTAGTATGAAAGCTGTCTTTCGAAATAGTTCAGAACTTCCAATTTTTTCTTGACCTTGCTCGTAATTTGTGTTGATTGATTCTCTTTTCGGAGCCTTTCGGAACAGCACTTAGAGCCAATTATGCGATAATTACTTAATAGTGCCATATTTTAAGCAACATTATGCGGCAAACCTAACCTGTTATGCGTTTTCAACTATATTACTGTATTATGCAGTTTATGTGATTTGCATAAAATCACCGTCCCTAGTGCAGGGACGATGATTTTCTGCGGTGGTTAACTATATGTGGTTAAGATTATTTATTCGGCAAAATTTTTCTAAGCCATATAATTCCGTAATTCCCCGATTAACCTGTTCGCAATTTACGTAATTTACGTGTGATTTCCCGGCTCTTGGCCTGAATTTCTAAAAATGATTTAGAATTCTATGGTATTTTACGTATTTTTAGAATTCTGTGATATTCTGCGGTGACTAAGAGTGAGTTCTTGATTTCTGTGGTTGACTGTGATTAAAAGAAACTCTAGTTTTCTGTGAATTACAGAAAATCATCGTCCCTGACTCAGTGATTATTATTTCATGTGAAATCATGGAGTGACGTCATTTGTTTACTACGTAGCACGAACAAATTTGGTCTAACACCTAACGCTAACCCTGAATGTTTAATCATGTAACGTGATGATCACGAAAATATCACTGGGTTCACTCTTCTACCTTGAATATTTTCTTTGGTAGGCTGCCATAAATGATTTGAGTATTGTGTTATGGGCCATTTTGCTCTCTTTTATACGCTTCATAAGAGACTTGAACCTCTGCGTATCCGTATTTATATATGCTTAGAAATATGATGTTACATATTCTGAGAAAATTACGAAATACAGTATATACCATATTTCTAAATAATATTTAATTATGAAATATATTTACCAATTAAAATAATGTTTTGATATTTAGTATTGTGCGATTTAATACAGAATGTTGTAATTCTTACATACCGTCTCTGACTGGCGATCCAAATCAAATTTTTTGAGATTAGGCGAAACCAATTACATTACTGCCAAAAATTTCATGTAGCCATCTAATGCGCCGCAATTAAAGAATAAATATTATTTCGCAATGATTACATATTGATTATGATAAATTTTTCTTTAAAAAATAATTCTTTTCACTTTTTAATATTAACGTTAGTTCTTTTGAATTTAGCACCAAGTTTTTTTTAGTAAATAATTTTGTATGACAATTAAATAAATTTTTGCCAATGTTATAGAAATATTACTGTAAAAATTTACTATATCATGTAAAATTTTTAATTAAATAAATATACCTACTTTGAGTCATACTGTATGAAAACAAATGAGTATTATTATTTTTTTTTGTAACTAATTATTTATTATTTGGAACTTAGTAGTAACATTTATTTTCAATATCACTAATTAGCAAACTAGCACTATTGAAATATTGTATCAGAGTTACTGTACGATTTCCTATTTTCCCAAAAAATCTAATACTGACTAATTATTTCCTTTCGAGAAACTGGCTTTTAAGAAATTGAGTTACATTATTGTATTAGTATTAAAACAAATCTATTAATTAGCAGTTTCAGTAACATTTTATTTATTTGCAGTATTATTCAACTATATCAATAAAAATGGACCTTACATTTCAAATGTTCGTGTTAATTATTTTTTTAAAAAAGTAAAAATTGCGACCCAAAATATAGTTAAGGAATTTTAAAACAGAGTTAAATATATATTAAAATTACAAGCTTGTAAACGTAGGTCTCAGAAAAAATTTCATTCTCATGAGAATAAAGTATCGAACAAAAACTTATAAAATTTTTTTTTATATCAGAAGTACTTATCTACGTTAATGTTTTAGATTATTTCAATCTTTTTTTTATAAAGAAAAACTAAATCGATGTTTTTGATTTTGTGGCTGTGCTAGAGTGGCATCATCTAGTTTATCCAATAAAGATGGATCTAATCACAACTTGGAGAAATTAGGGCTCCCAATTTTTTGAACTTTGTCCTAAGTTAAATTTCTTGTACGCGTGCGTATTATGTATCTAAAGACTAGTATGATAGATTCTCTCAACAGTATTTTAAAATAAAGGCTTGAACTATCCTGGCATTCCAGTATACCCACGTAAAAATTTCACATTTTACATGCCACATTTATATTTTTTTTCTGAGAGCGACTCAAATATATATATCTTTTACGGATTGTTTTCTCTTAGTATTTTTTACAAAATTCTTCTTAAAACAAGTTTTTTTTCAGACATAATTGTCTTTTTAAATCAAAACTTGAAGTTGTCTGTCAATACAGTATTTAAGATATTTTTAGGCTTCTATCTGAGTAAATTGCGCATAAAGTCTAATCTCGTGATTCAGAATTCAGGCTCGTGACGTAATCTAGAGCCTTATTACTAGGACCAAGTCTTCCACACCTGCCATTACTAGGGTTTAGTCTCTAGGGTAGTGTTTTTAGATAGTGTTAGTGTGTGTTGATATCAGCGATACACATATTTAGAGATTCCGAATTAGTTCCCACGCTCACAACGTACATGATCATAATAGTGTTAATTAAAAAACTCCATTCCAGTTTTCATTTTCTCAGTTTCGCCATTTAAGATTTTGATTGATTAACACGATACTAAGTCTGCAAACCTTCAAATTTAGTATTTTAAATTGTTAAATCGTGCTGAAATTTTAGTTTTTATTGTGGATAATTACCACGGGTTATACAGTCACTAACTGTACCTTTTCTAGCTCAAACGCATTCGAAGTTCAAAAGTCTCGCGCTTGACACTTTATTTCGCGCATGAAACACTTTTTACAGGTAAGTTTATTACTCTCTAAACTTATCTTCATGTCTTTACAGATCGAAGACTGATAATATTTTCTCTTTATTTACATTTCTTGTTTATATTAATTTCATGATTACATCACTTTTGTACCACATTCTCTTATTAATTCCCTTTTGCTTTAATAAACTCTTAATATAATCGTCATTGACTCGGTCGAGACTTCCTTGTTTCAATATACAAGCCATAAAGTATAAAGGTTGTACGAAAACTATAACCCCTTAACGTTAAAATTATATTTAGCATTTTGTATACTTTAGAAAATTGTACTACATTGTAAATGTTATTTTTATTATTCGTAACGATTCTTACTAATAGATTTGTAACTTTTTTTTTAGATGGCTGGGATTAAAAGAAATCAACATTTATTTCAAACATCTAACTCAAATAATAAAGACAAAAATTTAATAGTTACTAGCTGTAGTGAAGAACAACAAACAAAACGCCAACGCTCAGAAAATAATGATAAGGAAAGCATTTGTTGGAAATATTTTGAACCATTCAAGGTCCCAAAGGAAAATGGAACAATAACAAAATGTACGATTCCTGGATGCACTACGAGATATATTTGGTGCGGTTCTACATCTAATCTTGTTGGCCATCTTAAGAATAAGCATGGTATAACAAAATCTTCAATACATTTAACATCTACAACATCAACGATTAATTTTATTGATTTTGAATCAGAATTTAATATACCATTAATTAAATTTATTGTTTCCTCTGGAGCACCTTTTAGTATTGTTGATAATTTAAAATCGGCAGGATTTGTTAATCCAAAAATTGAGCTATCTACTTCTATTATTATAGAAGAGCAAATAAATAAAGCACATGATCGTTTATTCTTTCAATTAAAGTCAAAAGCTCAGCAAGAGAAATCTATTATGCTCTCTATTCATAAAACAGGAGATTTATTTGATGAATTCTATGAAGTAATCACTTGTAATTGGTTAACTAAAGACTTAGAACTTCATAAAATCCTATTACTTGTAAAACAACGTTACTCTGAATACGAATTTGACGATTATAAAAATACTATTGAAGCTTTAGAGAGGTGGGAATTAACTAATTTAAAATTTTATAGGGATTATGATGGTGATTGTGATTTTTTTGAACCATTATGGGATTCGGAAAATAGAAAATATCAAGAAAAATATCAAAATCTTGTACTAAATATTATGCCATTGTCTGAGTCTATTGGCAATCCTTGGCGTTTAGCAGATTTAATATATGAAAGTTTAGAAAAATGGATTAGTGAAAATATTAATACTCAAGAAATATCTAAAGTTATCAAAGTTGTTAAAAATGCTAATGAAAATCTTTTGGATATCATAATTTTTTTAAGGAATAAGGAAGTACAAAGAGAAATACAAAATATGCAAAAAATATTTAGTTATTCGACTATAATTGATATTCAAAATTCAGAAAAAATTGATTGTACTTGCGTTTATCATGAAATAGCCCTTTTAAAATTAATGGAAAAGCCTTTTATTCGGCTAGTCAATAATTATGAAAGTTATGAAAATGCTTTTATTAGAAAACAAGGGAAACGTTTTAAGGAACTTATGCTAGATTCTTTACCATTTGGCATATATTCCAAATTATTGCAAATATTTAAGCCTTTAGATCATCATATAAACCAATACAATTTTGGTGAATTGTCTATGAAGGAGACTATGGATTTAGTAGATAAAATTGCTATTAACGCAAATAACATGTTGAGAGAATTTCAATTTAGTGATGACATAGAACACAAAGTCCTTAAATCGTTTTTAACATCAATTCCTTTATGTTTTGAATACAGATTGAATCATTCATTTGTTAATCAGCTAGCCTTGTTTTTAGATCCACGTTCTAAGCCAGATGAGATTCCAGCTGTAAGTTTTATTTATGTTATTAATATTTGTAAATAATTATTAAATTTAATATACCGTAACTTTATATAATGTACTAGGTGATTATAAAATGTGTGCGGAAAAAATGTCAAGCATATTATTTAGAAAGTATTTTTTCTGGCAATTTGGATAAATCAATACAAGCAGCAAATAAAGAATTAGAATGTTATATTAATCGACCACTATCATCTTTAGATGGTGATATTAATCCGTATGAATGGTGGCAAGGTTCAAAAAAAATGCTTCCTGGATTAGCTTCTATTGCGAGAGAATATTTGCCTACACAAATTATAGATAAAGAATTTCCAATAAAAAATATGGAGAAACTTGTAAAAATTTATGATAATGATATGGCAGAAAAAATAGCATTTTTGCAATATAATATGAAATATATTGATTTATATTTATAAGTATTATTTATCATTTTATGTTCATATATTTTTTGTACTTTAGATAGTAAAAGCATAATATGTATGACTTTTATGTTTAAAATGTAAGATCAAATAACCAGAGCAAATTAAAATCGATAATTAAGATCGAAAATATATAATTCATAATTTTGGGGATCGTGTAACGTGATTGTCAGATAGGATATCAACATAATCCTATTAGGTTTATTGCGACTTTAATTTCTATACTTAGTAAAAATGATAAGACATGGATAATATTCTGATTTTTGTGGCATTATTAACATATTCAAACTATATCAGTATAGTAAGATACAATATGACACAATAAATAAGTGTTGACATTTGTACACCATTGTATTTTGGTACTGTTACACTCAAACCACCTCTAACCGGTTCGATGCAACTGGGGTTTGATAACTTATAAATGCCTCACGTGCTTAACAGTTCAAGCCGTGAATCTTAGAGGGTTTCAACAAGTGATTTGGGTTTGTGAAAGAGGCAAACGCCTAAATGTATATGAAGATACAAGTAGTCGTGTAAGGTATCGAATCAACAAATATGATTCCAACAATAAACTAACAAAATGTGACCGTGAAATCCCTTCACGTCAGTCACGTGGACAAGACAGTTAATTCACTTAACAGTCAAGTTTTTGGGTTTTATATTGTGTATGAAGACACAAATATAAGTCTTATTTATTGAATGTGAGTTTAGAACTGTCGATTTCCAACGGGAAATCGAAGGATATTCTTGATGTTTTATCTATCAGTTATAACGGATCTGTTCTATCTAATAATTATACGGGATCAAATATAACTAACATATAAGACATATTTACTAGATATAATAGAAATAAAAGAAATATTATTTAAATTAGATCCTCGAGAACTAGAAGAACTACGAGAACTATGAGTTCTCTTGGCAAAAGCGATCTACGGACTACAGATCTCGTGATAATTCTTTCGCCATGTGACCTACGTACACGGTGGGTCTAACAGTACTGTACACCATTGGTAAAATTCGGCTGCACCAGTCCATTGTTTCATTACTCCATTGAGAATTCTTAATATAAATTATACTAAATTTTACATAAGTACAGTATTTAAAACAAAAGTTTTTACGTATAAGGAAAAATGTATAATAGTTTTATTCCATAAATAATGCTCCAATGTGTCAACACTGGTTACAACAATATAAACATAATTAATACTAGTGATGTCCTTCGTGCAGGATAAACTTTAATATATCATATAACTCATATGAATATGCTATTTTGTGGCCAATTAAAAATCATAACTGTATTATTTCGTGGAAATTTATTCCGGAATATTGTCGTAATACATTACTAGGAAATGTACATACCATCATCTCTCACAAGGGATATATCAAGAAAATTGCCTAATAGCACGTTAGAATTTGTGTTGCCTCAAAGTGGTTTTTTATATAGGCTTTGTTATATTTATCGTTTCCTTAAGCATTTTGAGGTTACAGCTATAATTTTAAAGATTTTAACCACATTTTGATAAATTATGAAATTAACCTTTTTTTCTAGATCATTCAAAGGCGTATATTTGTTATGGGCTCATCAAGGTTTTCTTTTTTTTTATAATTTAGTTAGCAATGAATATGCTAATTCTTGTACCTGACCATGAAAGCACTACATAATTATATTCGAAATAGTATTTTATAATGACAATATTTCTGAGGGACGAACGTGCTCATATAAGAGATTGTTTGTAAACATTAAAATGTATAGACAATTCAATGTAATTTGCTAGTGATCGAGATCATGCACAAACACTATAATTAATTGAAGCAATGCTTACGGCATTTTACTAGAGATTCATGGTGTGAAATGTGGATATTAAATTTTAACTTATCAGCACGACTCTATAATGGTCGTGCCCATTTTCTTTCTTTCTTTTTTTTTGTTTTTTGATGACCATTAAACTATTTTTCACTAATTAAAAATTGAACTTCAACCTATTAATTTAGTGTTTGAAAACACGAGTCAGCACAAATCATTATTAAAGAACATACTGAATTGTGAGAATGCAATTCTATTTATTTCGAACCTGAGAACTAAAAATTAATCCGAGTATTTTTTTCGAATGAAACGCTGTAGATTATTGCTAATTTGAATTTATCAATTACGTTCTATTGTCACGTCCATAAACAAAGAAATACATTAAATTTTGTAGTACTTTACTTGTAATTAAAATTCGATTTAAATGCTGCCAATGGAAAATCTGGAATTGTTAGTTTTTCGAAATTCATTTTCAGAAACAGCTTTCTAAAAGCGGAGTTTTCGACATTCATTTTCAGAAACAGCTTTCTAAAAGCGGAGTTTTCGAAAATTAAGAATTCTAGGTTTTCTCTTGGTAGCACTCATTTATAAAACTACAACCTTTCAAACAAAGAAGCTGTTGTTTTTATTATTTTGAAATTAAAGTCTCGAATTCTATATTCCTACTCTCTTCCGAAATACTGTACACAATTTTGAAACCTCCTACAAAATTTTTAATAATGTGTTAGACAAAATCCCTTCATATCATATATGTATTCCATTCCTTGTTTTTCATTGCATATACATTTTGCAGTTTTAGTCATAAAGTTTATCTAATATGTCTGTGTGCATGTTCTAATTTTGGAATAATTTTTGATTAGTGTTGCTTCATTTTTCTTTGATCGATTATATAATTTGTAAGTTTATTTATTTTTTTCCAAGAAAAATGAATCTATATTTTTTACGCATATGTTGTGCTCGTATGTATGTACAATTGTATTTGACGATGCTTGCTACTTTGTTCGAACACAATAATAGAAATATATACCAGGTATGTACTTACGTACACCACATTTAACATTGAATGTTTGCCTAATCTAGATCATCGTAATACAGAAAAGCATGAACAAACACTAATTTAATTAATTTTCCGAACTTTGAGATACAATTTGAAGAGGTAAATAAAAAAATTATTAATTTGCAAAATTAGTTGTACCAAAATGTCTACAATTTTCTATTTAAACACCAAAGAATTGCATTTCCAAAATTTTACCTCTCAATATTTGGCCTATTCCTGCTGCCATCCTACTATACCTTATCCATTTAAATCAACTAACACTCTCCTTATACACTACTTTCCTTGCACTCTCGATCAATTCAATTTGAATAGATAGCTCTATATCATTCTATATTTCTATTTTTTGCTGCAATAAAGAATTTCTGGGAAATTCGTTATGATGAAATCACGTATATACACTGTTATATTTATCATCTTGACCGTCATCTCTTCTATTACTTTCGCAATTCCGGTGGCCCATAACACTAAACATGAATATGAACATGGTAAGTTTTTCTTTAATCCTTTAAATTGATATAATAATTCTATTGAATAACATAAATTTTCCTTTTTAAATTAGTCGGATATGGTGGAAATAGTCATAAAGGTCCTGATTCGAATGGAGGGTGTGATCCCAATGAATGTTGGGGGTAATATCATCACTTCTGATACCATCATACGTATTTAATTTCAAATGTATCAAGGTCATGTATCATGCTTAATAAGATGACCTTATAACTGAATTTGAGTATTTGCGAGGAAAACAGTTAATCATTCGTTATATATATGAACTTACAATTTACGATCTTTGTTATTCTAATTTAATAATGAATGTAAAACTTAATTAGGTATATTAGTCGGATATAATACTGGCAGAAAATTTGTGTTGATCACAAACATGCGTTATTTAATTATTTAATAAATAAAATTTTTTTCCTGAATCACGTTCTTAAAATTTACCAACATACTGTATTTGTTTAATTTTATTTTTTTAAAAAAAAAAGAATATGAACTTTAAATTTTTTGTTTGCAACAAACTTATCTACTACTTTTTAAATTAAAGCAATAAGTGACCTTTATTGAGTCTTTTAGCCCACTGAATAAATTATATTCTTGCAAATTAGAAAAAGGTGTAATTACAGTATTTTACAATCAAATTTTTGTAAATTATAAAATGATATAATGCTGACTTTGTAACAATACGAATTGTTAAGTTTGAAAAAAAATTTTTAATAATCTACGTTCTAACCCATTAAAAGATTATGATAAGTAAGAAAATCATGATCAGTAAAATATCAATTAAAGATTTAAGAAAAATGTCTATAAAGTTGATTATCGGCTCGACTATAAAAACTGTCTTTAATGCTTTACAAGAAAAAAAAAATTACTTCAAACTTGTAAAACAAAAAACAAATTAGTGATAAAGTCATATTTCACAATTTAAAAAGGTTGATTTGGTCGTTAATAACCATAAACAAAATAAATATAAAAATTAAAAAATCGATGATGCTTATTTCAATCACTTATATTTTTTTTTTTAGAAAATAACAAAATTTCAATTATTGTACGTAGAGATGAATGATCAAAGGGTATTGGAAATTAAGGTATACAACCTACCATTCCTTTTTGTTTTCTGCTATTAGTTAACCTCAGAAGTAGGGTGGTTCAATCAGTGTCAGTAGGTTATTTTGAAAGACAACCTACCGTATTCTTAGTAGTAGAGAGTTTTAACAGCTGCCTTACATAGCCTAGTACACTAGATATGTATTAAGAATATAAGTAAGAATAATATCCTGATCCATTGGAGATTGGCGGAAATGAAGCTTCCGCTTATTCACATATGGATCAGGATATAATTCATTAATTCCCGTGATCTTGGCATAGTGATCGGGAGATTATATAAAGTAATATGCAAATCAGATCAATTTGGAGTTGTATTGACAAATTGTTTTGATTTGTGCTGTATCAAAATACAAAGAATTGGAGTTTCTACAACGTCGTACAGTGCGTCGAAGCTCTCAAAAGATGAGTAACCAAAGAGTGATGATGGTACTCAGTGAGGATACAGTCATCACAATAATACATACACATATGGGGTCTTTGCCTTGAAAATGACCCTACGGCATCATGTACCGTAAGGTCATTTTCAAGGCAAAGACCCCATATAATTTATATATAGTATTGGTCTATTTGTTGTCTACATTTAAAGATTTGATTCCTAAAATGATTATATTATGACACTCGCATCTACCGCTATAGCTATTTTATATATATAAGTACATCAACAATGAATATTTTACTCCAAATGATTAAATTATTCAATTTTATGAGTGGAGGTATGCCACACTCGAGATAAACCTAGCATAAACTTCACGTGGAGATGTGACCGACTTCATACTTTATTAAAATTTTCTTATCAAAAATGTATATTGTTTATGTAATTTAATCACGTGAGGATGATATCAGTATCTCACATCTCTAATTATAAGAGAATTCACATTTTAATTTGACTAGTGAATAATCCATCATACAAACCTGGTCAAAATTGTTTATCTTATGACCAGATTTAAATTAATTTGTTCTAGATCTGGTCAAATGATTTGCAAATTTGACCAGAATTATAAACGGTGGGTTTCTCTATCGGATCCAACGTACATACGTACTTCTAGCGTTTAAATTTATAACAGTGTTAAATTTTTAAGAATTGAATCCAATGAATTATAAATTTATCACTATCAAGTTAATTAAAAAAAGTTATTCGCTTCTTATCTTATTTATTTGCGTTTTACAGTAAATATAATAATCATTTAATTAATTGAAGTAAATAAGCTATTATCTTATCCACATTGACTTAGCTATAATAATTATTTATAATCAAAGTACTTAATATTCATTCATCTATTTCAAATAATCAGTAATTATGAATTATTATTACACTTTATATTATAAAACCAGAATCAGCAAACCTTATTCGTATCGTCTATACTACAATACTACAATAAAGATTTCAATAAAAAGAATTTACTTCCACATGAAAATATGATTTTATAATCATCATGAACATGTATTTTAACAAACTCTCTTAATACATATCCAAATACTTCAATATTTTATGTAATAAATATTTACAATCTCAAAATGATTTATCCTAAATATTGTTAATTAATAAATTTTGTAATTCTTGCCAAAAACTTTTAAAGAACTGACTTCAAAAGTTTTAAATAAAATGATGCAAAATTGAGTTACAGGATTGTTTTCTAAAAACGTTCTTTCTACAGTTTGTTTATGTCAAATTCAATCGCTTTAGAATCATCATTTTGATTATTGTTTAGTTGTTGCATTATTGCCATATGGATATCTAATACAATTGATTATTATAAATATAATTAATATTAGTTTATGCCTAAAATAAGGAATATACATCGTCTCAATACAATATATTTACTCACCAGTAATTGCATTGCTGTTTAATTTCATACTTTGTAAAGTCAATGCTTTACTAATTAATGGAGTTAATGGTCGACTAGAATAAATGGCTTGATCATTTATTTT